CACTGCCATTTTCCCAGCATGAGCCAAGCTCCTTAAAGAAAACACACAACATCAAGCGGTAGTGAGATTTGCTTTGTGTGCGTGTGAATGTAAGTCGCGGTGTTTGTGCTAAAAGTCCATGTGTGTTTGATATGTGTATGCCTCTGGGTGTGTGTATGTCGGCGCATGCACACACGTGTATCCATGTGCCTGTGTGAGTTGTTGTGTGTGATAGTCATGGGAGTGTGATCCCTTTGATCACGACAGCAGCATGGAGAAACAGATTACCTTTTGCAGCCGCGGTGACAGAAAAAGCGCTCTCAAGTTGACAAACCTCACGAGGAAATTTAATATCCTTCTCATTTCACCGACAAACACTACATGGAGTTGTGTGGGGAGCTGGATTGAATTTGTTTGTGAGTATAATGCTAAATAGTTTGACGGTACCTGTCTTATTATTCCATGTCTGGAAAGTAGAGAGTACCGTGCTGTGCTGCATGTTGTGCTTTTAAAAAGATTGAACCTCGACACTAAATTCAGCTGAGAAGATTAAAATGGATCCCTAAACTATGGATATAGCACAAGGATTGTTGGCAGGAAAATTACAACTACCTACAAGAATGCTGGTTATACAGTATGTCAAAACAACACATTTATGACGGACTATTTCTTGGCCTGGCACAGGAACTTTAGCCTAAAAGTAGTCCAGCAGCAACTCCAATAAAACCACAAAGTGTCAATTTCACAGGGATTAAAGAAAAGCCATTCAATATGTTTATCAGTGAGCTTTAGAGGTGCTGGTAGGTAAAGTGTGTTACCTTTGATCAAGAGGCCGGACAGCTAAGCTAACCAGCTGTTATCTCATGTTCTATAGAAGCATACTGAGGGTGGTATCTGGTGGTTTTCTCATCTAACTCTCTGCAATGAAGCAAATAAACATTTCCCAATATGTCAAACTGCTGCGTGCTACTGTAACACCGGCCAGTAGGCTCCTGAAAATTCATTATCCAGCCAAATGTTGGCTTTTGTGCTTAGTGTTTTATTCCTGATAAGGTTTCAAGAATTATTAATGTTGGGGATCTGATGAGGCATGTACAGGAAACAGCTTATTGTGATTATGATCATTACTCAGCGGGATCACAGGCGGGTGCTGTAAACACACTCTGGACTTTTGGCAACATTAAACTCATCATGGGGTGAGTGTAATCAAAGGTTGGTGGCACTGCTGATCCCGAAATCTGTTTTGGATTTCCGGACGGAAGATATTAAAAAGGCTGCTGTCTGAAATCAAAACATAACTTGTGGGGTTTCACGATGTCCTGGATGTTAAATAGTTATTTTCTGCCCATGCAAGGATGAAAAATCCTGAATAACACATCATAGAGCGCGGCAAGTCTTGATACACGCAGACGCACACACACACACACACACACACACACACACTTTTTCTAAACATAAAAAAGAAACTGAACATATGTTACACTGCTGTAGCGACAGTTTGGACCTGGCATCCCAACCAGCCCTCCACAGCTGCTGCTGTCTAATCTTGTCAGCACGGGCGACGGGTTAAGAACTAAATCTGGCAACCCAGAAGAAGAAGAAGAGGAGGAGGAAGTATGCTGGATCATTAGTGCAGCTTCCTTCAGAGTTTTGTAGCTTGTTCTTTGCTCTTCCCCTGTCGAGTGTAATCTTGTCATGCATACTTTTCCCTGACGACATTTTGTAGCAGGTATTAACAAATGTCATCCATTTTTGTACAGTTAATATAAAACACTTTTTTAGATTTTATCAAACTACATATAATCCAAACTGACACTTGCAGTAAGAAAAAACACAATAGCACCTGCCGTTGGACAACCGAATGCAAGTCCCTTTACACAGAGTACGGAGGATGAGTTGAGTGTCATAAATCCTGAGGAAAGAAGCTGCTCTGTATTCTGATGGTACGACAGCGGACACATCTGTATCGCTTGCCAGACAGCAGCAGGGTGAACAGGCTGTTGTTTGGGTGACTCTTGTCTTTTAATATCCTTTGGGATCTGCGCAGGCACCTCACCTCACTGATATCACTGATGCTCAGTAGATGGATGATGTTCTGGCCGGTGTTAATCGTCTGCTGCGGAGCCCTCCTTTTCCTGGGCCATGCACAAACCATCCCGCCTTGTAATGTTTCCAGGATGCTTTCTAGTGTTCCTCTGTAAAAACGTGTGAATGTATACACCTCTGATACTCAGCAGCACGTAACTACTTCCCTTGACTCGAAAAGGAACGACTCAATACTCAACTATCTGTTGAATAAATATTGTGAAAAGTTTTCGAAAAGTGAAAATGAAGTTCAGAAATACTTCTTGGAGATAGATGGTTTCGACAGGGCGCTAGCAGAGGGATCTGTTATCTCTGCACCATCATCAAATGTTTAGCACTAACGTGTTTCTTTGTGAATGTGTGAAACCGACAGATTGTCTCCGAGATGGAATTTGCATGAAAGACGTACAAGATTATGTGTCATACCTGGTGAAGATGTGTGAGTCACACGCACTTTTTCATGAGTGTGTGTGTGTGTATGTGTGTGTGTGTGTGTGTGTGTGTGTGTGTGTGTGTGCACATGTGTGCCATACCCCTACCTGGGTGGTTCAGTGCTGTGTAATGCCCCCACTGTAGCCTGAGGGGCCAGGGTTGCCAGGTTGTGTAAATAAATTAAAGCAACAAATTATGTTTAAAAGCTTCTCCCTCAGGCCAGAAAAAAACTAAGATCCATTATTCATTGCTTTTACTGCCGGGAATCTAAAGGCAGGTGTGTGTGTGTGTGTGTGTGTGTGTGTGTGTGTGTGTGTGTGTGGGTGTGTGTGGGTGCCAGTATTTTCTGTCAATTATTCAAAGATTAACCGCCCTTATCCCATCACATTATCTCGTTGATGAAATTGAATACCATTTACATTTTGATACCAGTAATGACAACCACAACAACGGATGCCGAACCTCGTGTCTCCGTAATCACAAAGGGAGGGATTCTACTGCGGGCAACATTTGAAAGCTGACACAGCGGTTTTCTTTGTCATCAGCAACCACATTTCAGCAAACGGAGAAAGACACAATGGTGAAAAAAAAAACATTTCTAGCAGACGCTTTGAGAAATCATGATACATGATACACATGTGTGCACCTTTTCCTTTGAAATATGATTTGAACTTTTTTTTGAGGGTTAAACTTATTTGAGATGAGTAATAGTAGGAACGCTCTGCAGAGAAGAGCTGCAGCCGTCTTTTCCAGAATCCAAAGGAGTTTTTTCTTGCCGCTGTTGCCAAGGTGCTTTCTCATGCTGGGAATTGTTAGGTCTCTGTAAATATTATAAAGAGTACCATTTAGACCTGCTCTATCTGAAACCTGAGCCGAGATAACTCATGCATAAAACTAAATTGAATTGAATTAAAAAGGCTACAATACTCCAGGAAGTTACTAGGCTAAGCTAACCAGCTGCTAGCAGTGGCTTTGTTAGCATATAGACATGGGAGTCCCTGTCCCCATGCCACATCCCTTTGTTTCATTTTGTTTGTACAATCAAACTACAACAGTTTAATTGAAAATAGTGAATCATTTTACCTATAATTTTGTGCTAAATCATCGCCTGGATGCTGCTCAGCCCCCAAACAAACCATTACCGGGATGAAAGTGTCGCTCGTTTGCCGTCGGCGTGGATGCTGTGTTTGCTTTGACAAATCAAAGACTCTTTTTCATGAACATCTTCACCGAGAAGGAGTTCTTATGTTCAGCGATTTAATCTTCAAATCTGAGCTGTATGTTCTTCAAGAGGTTTTCAGTCTTGTTATCAGGCTGTATCAGGGAATACAAAGAAATAGCCTTGTTCTAAGGAGGATGTTTCTGATTCACTTCTATTAAAATAGATGATGATGCATAATGTAATGCAATTCACAGAATCAACTCCCTGTACAGTCTTTTTCAGCTAGCCTGTTATGTTCGTTACAATCTATTCGAGCTTTAATCAAGTTATGATTTCATTATGTTTCAATTGAACGTGAATGTATTCATATTTACATTTAATTCATTTAAACATATGAACAGTCTATAAAGTATGACGCATTGTTAAGGAACAAACTACCCGAAGTAGTAAAGTAGAGCAGTGCTACTTACATGTCAATGCATCAAGTATAATGATCCAATGATGTATTATTGTTACTTTATTATGATACTACTGCACATCTGTACTTTTACCAAGCTGTTTTCTTGTGACGCAGTACTTCCCCACTCTCTTCATAGTATTTCATAGTAGATTGTATGAGGTTACAGCATATACGGTATTCCTATATCTCGGTGATCTCATGCTTAGGCTTACAGCCCATTTTTCTTATGTTCTCACCTCCTTTATTCAGTCCTGTTTTCTTTTAACTGCGGGTCACGCTGCCCTCTTTATTTCAAGAAGAGTTATGAATTTGCCGTTGTGTGTTCTCTCTCTGTCGCCCACCATCATCTGCTTCTAACATTCAAGCTCGGTATTGGAGTCACCAGCCTGATGCCCCTGCAGGCGAGTTGATCCTTATCTCTTCCACGACTGCTTCCTCCTGGCACAACCGTTCGTCTTGCTCTTACTGTACCTCATCACTTACCTGGTGTCGACCCCGGGAGAATGTTTCGTCGTTGGTCATCTCCAATTCAGACCACCTCCTACGCAGACGGATATAAAGACTGGAGAGGAAGTGAAAGGAAGCCACGTTGCTTAACCGTGTGTGCTGTATTTCTATCACAAAAACGGTCCTCATGGCAAGGCCCTCCTCAAGATTGTGTGTTAAATTATTAGTGCGTCATATATGCAGACAAAAATATAGCAACAATTGACAAATCCAAAATGAGGTCAGAACAATGTAAAAAAAGAGCACGGGGAGAATAAATATAGAATTAAATGTGTGAGGAAAACAAAGGATTATACAAATAAAATAAAAGACTGAAATAAATCAAACTTAAATATTTTTTATCAACCGATAGGTGACAAATAAAAGACACATATAAAGATTTGTCTTTCTTTTTTATTGTCGTGATTGTCTAACAAGCCTTTACTTGTTTAATTACAGTTTTGACATTTTTCATCTGATGATCTTTTACAACATTTTACGAGATGCAGCTTGTAAAAAGTTATGAAGAACTCAGAGAATCATTGTGATGTGTCCATTATCACACCGTTTTAAAAGATGAGCACTTTTTAAAGAGCAAATCCAGAAAACAATGTGCAGAATACAGATGTGGTTGAGACCATAATGGCGTTTTTATTACACTATTTCATGGTTTCTTAATTTTCAGTTTTTAATCTTAAAATTCCAGTTAACAACGGACAGAAACGATAAACTGTACATCCTCCTCCTCCCTCTGTTTCTTTACGTCCTCTCCTCCACTTCAGTCAGATCCCTTCTTCCTCTCTCCGGCTCTTCATACTTGTCCCTTCGTGTCCTCCCTCCACGCTCCTCCTGTTCAGAGCTCCTCCGAGTGGAAAGCTGAAGGCCAGAGGAGAAAATGAGGTGTTCATCGGTCCCAGTATATACTTCATCAATCGCAGTTATTGCAGGTATAAATATCAAACCCCAAACTGAAGTTTCTTGGCTGAAATTACCATACAAATGAATATTAAGCTCCCTGCACAACATCATTATTTTTTCATCTGTCTTCCTGCTGTTGTTTTGGCCTTGAACCTCTTCCTTTGAAAATTAACTGCTCCTTATATTTATTATACAATAACTCAGACTAAAATGTATTTCTGCCCCTCAATCTGAATGAGAGTATCTTTAAGCATCATTGAAGTTGTCCCACTGTCTCTCCTCTCAAGACACATTTGTGGTTACTCAAATCAAACCATTTTCCATTCGTCCACCAGATGGACTTTCCCTCATTTCCCCCTCACTTGACTCCCTCATCCATCAACATACCTGTTCATGAGCCATATGAACATAAAAACAACCTGGCAGCTAGTTGGTAGAGGAGGGAGGATCAATCCCAAAAATATCGATACTATAGTATGTCTTGTTTAAAGATCGATTCTAGCATCAAGAGGATCGATACACAAAAAAGATTAGTTTCTCTCTTCTACACCCATTTGAAGATTAGAACTATCTGTAAAAATAAAGTCTCGTTGTACTCTTTGCTTCATGCTGTGGTCCTGTTGTGTGCAATCAACCCACATCCCACTAGTTACTCCCACTGACACATGATGTCTGAATGGAAGAGGAGCATGTTTGGATCTATTTCACAGTGAATGTTGGTTGACTGCTTTTATTTGCACAAAAATAACTTAAATATATATATTTGTACTTTGTTAAATCCCAAGAATTGTAATTTTCATCTTTGCACATTCAATTTACAATCATAAGAAATAAAAAGTGTCTTGTGTTTTAACATGCATGCGATTAAGTAATTAACAGTGGAAGCAATATGAAAGTACATACAAGCCTAAGCCGCTTATAATTGTAAAAAGTATTGGTATTGGCGATGCTGTTCCCTGTATTACTTGGTGTCAAATGGAAACCACATAGCGGTTTGCCGGATTCGTCAACACTTCTACTTCATTTGTTCCATTTTCGTCATAGTTTCAAGGCTGTGTTCGGTTTTCCTGTTCCCTGTTTACCACTTGGACTCACTGCCTGTAAGCTATTTACAATAAATCACTGGATTCATCTGCTGCGTCCTAATGTCTGCATTTGGCACCAGTCCCAGTTCCAACTGTGACAGAAGTATTGGTAAATAAAAAGCTCTCCAGATCAAGCTTTCACTACAGTTAATTAGCGGTATTTGAAATGGGCTGTTGGTCCTGATAATTGAACAAAGAAGACGACGGGAAGTTTATTTTATGCCTGATTTATTTCCACAATTTAGCGGGTTAAAAGGGCATCATATTCATTACAACTCTGTTAGTCAGTGAGTGACTACATTCCGACAGATCCACCATTGCTATTATCTGCACAGCGTGGATGATCACACTGAGCATATAGTTTGCTTTTCATTACATTTCCATGCTGATTAATAGTCATTCTATTACCAGAATGTTAAAACGTTTCATTCATGATTGCCATGATGCCAGGTCCTGAATAAGATGTCAGTCATGATATTATCGTTATCTTCGTCAGTAAATGGTTACTCAGCATGAGGTGATGTTTTCTTACATGTGAGGGGTTCAGTTAGCTGGTGAATACCTTCCTCCTCCTCAGCATCGGGAGCTACCAAACTGGCTGCAAAAGTCCATATCATCTCCAACCAATCAGTGCTCTCCTGAGATGTGACATCAGCAGGGACCCCAGCTGGGCTTGATTTTATTGGACGAAGAGCAGCTAAATAGAATAAAGACAATAGAATAAAAAAAAAAAAAATGTAAATCAGAGTACAGTAGGATATTATGAAATATTTAAGATATTTTAACGAGTAAAATTAAACTTGAGCAAAAATATCAGCAATGCTTACCAACAAACTACAGTCTAAAAAACGACCATGTTGAAATCACTTCACACATGACACAATTTAACAGAAAAATGTACAGTTTTACTGCAGCATTTAATATGTATACTATATTAAATGCCTGTGTAGGTGTTCATACTCTACAGTTTGGTCACAGCAGGTCGCAGTGAGAGAAATATTGATTGATATCATGTATTTAACTTCAGTGCTAAGGAGTGAATGTGATATGTATGGCGGCTCTCTGCTTGCCTCTTGCCTTCAAACCTCTCTTAGCGATGGCAGAGGGAGGAGGGAGACCTGAGGGGGACAGACACATCGTTAACAGAGACAGCATGACGGGAGGTGAAGAGTATAGAGGTTGAAGAGAGAACAATCGCTCTCCTCATTTCTCAGTTTGTGCATCCTCAATTCCTTTCCTCACCTCCTGTCCTTGCGCGGTACACCCTCCCTCCTAAAGATGCGAGCGGAGGAGGCAAGGAAGACACACAAGGAGAGAGAAGTCGAGGCATTAACAAAATTGGCCGTCTGCGCATTTTAAAGCAATGTCAATTATGACGTGTTGCACAGGAGCAGCTTCTGTTCATTGTGTTGTTATAGTACAGCTGTATTTCATGTATGTCAAAATGACAACTTATACATATACTTTTAATTCAATTTACAACGTTTGTATATTCCAGATGTGTGTCACGCCTCTTTTAGACGTCACAAGTGCCGAAAAGACTTCGGCAAAGATACACCTGCCGCCCTATAGCTTCCCCGACAAGCTTCCTCTCGCCTCTTGATGCACTTTAGTGACTGAGACATCTTTCAAAAGATCGATTTCCGGGTCAGAGTTAGAAGGACGGAGGAAACGAGGAGGCACAGAATGAGAAGAGCGGAAAGAAAAAGAAGCAGAGAGAGAAAAAGACACATAAATCCATCAACAGCCGCCATCGAACCATTCACAGCCACATACAGCTCTAGAGATATTGTTTTGCTGCTTTAATGGCAAACATGATCAAATCAAAAAAAAACATCACACAAAACACACTTTTCATCTTACGGAAGATGTTCGGACTTTCACGACATGCTGGCTGAGAACAGCAAGAAACGACTACAACTCAACCAAGTTTTAAGCAGCGTTTCAACATTCCCGACACACTTTTATCAGTATTTCCACTGTTGACTCTGTCTGCCCAAATATAGTATACTACCAAAGAAAGTAGTCACACGCTAACTTTTGGTTTCCACTCCAGGAGTCATCAATTTAAAAATATGTGAATGGAAACACGACTAATGACACTTTATTTAAACTGCATTGTGAATTACTTTTTGCGGGAAACTTATCTTGGATAACGTTTGCTTCCGCTGTATCACAAATTTTAAACTTAGGGAAAAAATTGTGGTTTGTGGAAAGGTTAAAAAACACAGGACTCTCACCCAGGAGACCACTGTTCCTGTCTCATGTGAACCAGGTACTTATGTTACCTGAACACAACTAAGTCGTAGTTTTGTGTCAGATTCGTTGTCATTTTAAGCCGAACCATTATGTTTTTCTTAAAAACCTAACCAAGAAGTTTCGTTGCCGTTCGAAGCAGTTTTGTATTTTTTGTTTTGTTTTGTGAACCAACTGTGATGGTTATCTGGGAGGAAAATACGTTTTCCTTGAAATGTAAATGAGCACTTTAGTTGTATCGGAACGTAATTTAGTAGGAGACAGGGTTGCTTTATTCACCACTGCTTTGTCCCAGCAGCAGCTCTCATTAATTGATCTTTCTAATATTCCCTCTCCCAGGTGGAAGAAGCTTTGTGCCTGTTTGTTGCCAAGTGTGGAGGAGTCGTATAATGCATCCTCATAAACAGCTGATTAATGCACTGACATTTCTTTGATTGGCACTCCACACAGAGGCACCAGGAATAGAAGGCTAGCATTCCCCCCCCCTGCTAACTCTCCCGTCCTTTTATTGCCTTTACTTATTCATTCAGTCTCTCCTCCATACACCTTTCCACCCTCTCTTTCTTTGTTTCTCTCTCTAACTCACTCCATGTCTCCGTTATTCTCTCTTCTTTTTTATGAATCTATTTTCTGTCTTACTTTCATGTTCTCATTCTGGGACTCTTTTCTTCTGCCTGCTTCTCTCTACCTTTGGTTTTGTGGAGTTTAGCCACCACATCAAAATGATAAAGCACAAAGAAAAGAGATTAAAAATACAAATTGTAGATAAAATAAATAAAAAAAGACCCAGAGGACTCTGAAAAAACTTCAGAAGAGAAGAGAATAAAGTAGCTGGAAGAGATGCATCTGAGCTGGATAAGAAAAGCTAAATGATTCAGAGCTTTGTTTGTTTGTTTTTATTTATACTTCCTTCTTTCCTTCATTGCATTCTCCTTTCTTTCTGTCTTTCTTTCTGTCACACTGACATAGGAGAGTGTTTTGCGGACACCATAAGGTTTTGCAGTGCAACACCCTCGTCAGCGATGTCTGATCTGAACTAATAAACGCTAGATGGTTGTAACATTTGCAACCGTCTCAATCTAAGTAAGTTCCCTTTTCAAGAGTAATCACATATATTAAGAAGTTGCCTCATGCCTCACTGTCAGATAAAGAAAGAACAGGGGTTTGATAAGATGACTGATGAAACTGTGCTGCAGCGTCCTCTCTCTCTGTGCTGTACTATATTTTTCTCTATAGTATTTTCTGCTGCTATTTTGTCTATTCTTTCTTTCTCTCTCTCTACACACACACACACACACACACACACACCACTTTATCGCTGCTCTTTCACGACAGGGAGGATTGCATTTCTTCTTTATTGTCCGAGAATGTCTCCTTGCTGTTTCATTTACACACGCTGGCCTTTATTGAAATGTCATGATGGGGAGAAAAGCTCTGTGATTAAAAATGCAGCCCAGCATTTTGTCATTGTCAACTTGCAAATATTTACCTCAGAAAACGGAAGTTGATTTCTACCTGCAGGGACACTTTGCATTTCTGCTGTATTTTCTCACTAACCTGAGAGGAACGTTTCCTTGATTTAGAGAAAAGATCCGTCATTTTTATTGATGTCTCTGAATGAAATGTATGAAATCTCATTCTCTGTTTAGGTTTTCTTGGATTTTCATGTTTTCCAATGTCGGCTGTTGCAAGAAAATAAATCTGCAAAATTGCACATATGATTTAATTGAAAATCCCAACAGGCCCACAGATTTAATGCCATCATTAGACACAATGGTCGTAACCCAACACCTAAGTCTATTTTAAGCCGGTGTATCACGAGGCTTCTTAGTCATTGATGACTGTTGGCAGGTCCAGAGGAAACACAGATATAGGCTACATGCAAAGTCACACAGGCACACAATTTGAATTGTCATACACCTAAAGACAGGGACTGAGAATATCAACCGCCTCACAGCAGTTTGTGAAATAGTCGGGAAATTGAAATCTAGAAATACACAAATTTAGCTTTTTTCCGCGTCGCTAAGCATGAAAACAATGCCAATAGAAAGTCGATTAGGATCCTATTCAGCGATGTCTCATTGACGTTTATGAGAGACAAAATGCATCTACAAGTGATGAGTAAAGGGACAATACGTTAGCCAGTTGACAGCTGGTGGGAAACACTTGTCGGTGGAAAGGAATCATGTACATCTTGATAGTCTCCAATCGGTCGCAGGCAGCACTCTAGTACAAGCAAGCAGTGCAGTCAAACTGTTAATGGTTTTGCTGTTGTCGTTGTTTTTACCAGAAGATAAACACACGGGGTCGTCACAGTATGATGTGTACTCTTTGGATGGGATGGCAGGTGATTGACAGCATGAGGATGGAGAAGAGGTGGTTGTTGGGGGGGGGGGGGGGGGAAGGAGGGAGGAGAGTGAGGAGAGGAGTTAAAGATGAGTGTGTTGGATGTGCGAGGCAGGACTATCCTTACGCTGGATAGTCCAACAACATGGCGATGTGTGGTAGTGGTGGGAGTGATAAGGAGCAGATGTGAGTAGAAAGTCAAAGGGATTGATTTCCTGTTGTGTGGTTGTAAGATCGCAGGCAGTTTGACCTTTTGTGGGTCAGGTCTATTCAGATCACTACAGTGCATACTAAAAGACTTTTAAAGTAAAATAAATGTGAATTTCTTATTGAAAACTTAAATCTCCATACAGTATATGTTGAATGCTTTCCTGTAGACCAAATTGACTTTTTCACACTTTGTTTTGTGTATGAATGAAACAATGAGACATGACATGTAACTTAAAGCGCATTAGGCAGATTTTGCTACCTCCATACGCTAGATGTTTCCTCCCATTTCCAGTCATCATGCTAAGCTAAGCTAGCCGACTTCTGGCTTACCGTACCTTCACGTTTAGCAGACAGCTATGAGAATGACCTCAGTGTTCAGCATTACCTAAACTGTAAAGTAAATTATAACAAGAGTATAATGACTTCAACATGACATTTTTTGTCCAGTGTTCTGATTTCTGGGGTAGTTAACAACCCAGATGCTGTGTTTACCGAAACAAAGCGACGTGCTGAAGAGTGCGGCGCGGATGTTCTCTGTTGATTCCTCCTGTTCTGCTACAATCAGACATTATCATTATCTCAAGATGTAAATTAACGGGTGTGCGGAGCCTTGTATGCCTGATCAAGGGTGCCAGTGAATAAGCGGTGTTAGGCTGAACTGAAGATGTTTAAAGGAGATCTTGACTGCTGCACTGGTGCGTTCTAAGGGAAATTAATTTTCTCTAATGGCAATGAAGCAATTAAGGTTTGATCACAGAAAACGAAAGACAATCACTGGAATTATCAAATTCTGAGCTGTAGATGATAGGATTATGGATATTTGAGGGAATAAAGCTACTCTGGCAGGCAATGTATGGAAGCAACAGGAAGTTCCCTTTCAATCCACTCTATACCAGTGTATGACATTTAAGTGAAAATGATAAGGAGTGGATGGACCGCAGTATGTACACAGCTGTATTACTACACTGGTACATGAACTGTCAACTGATGGGCTCATTGATGTTAGAGTCTAATGCGAGTGTGAGAAAATGCACTCCTCACAGACGACACACATTTTCAAAACATCTGCCGAGTGGAGCGAAACACTCAACGCCATGTGTTACTTTAAACACAAACAGTGTTAAAGCAGCACAGAAGTGCGTGTCCTCCGACTCAACACACGGCCGTTGAAAATGATGACCTTCTTGAGAGCACGTCCACTTTTGAAGTCTGCTTCAAAAATGCCCGAGAGGTTTGTTGAAAAATGCTGATGAGATAATGGATGTTCAAATTATACGTGAAAAATGGGGATAAATGAGTTGAAGGAAAGTGTCATTACACGCACATTATAATCACATTATGATGGAATTATAATCATTGGTGAAAGGTAGAACGGATGGTTTTACTTTTAATGCAAATAATCTATTAAAAGATTAAGGTATAAATGTTACCTGTCAGGGTTTTAGTGTCAAGTAGATCAAAGAGAACGATGGCGACTCCAAACCATGTGATGACCAGCGCCACAACCAGCAGCCAGGCCATCGGTGAATTAAAGGTCAAAATGACATCGTCCAAAAACGTCTTCTGATTGGTCCGAGCCGGACGGTCCGCACCCCCGCCGTTGTTTTGACTGCTCATTTTGAAAAGTTGAAAAGGGCTGAGGACAGAAAGAGACAGAGGGGTTTAAAACATGTAGGACATGATGACAAAAAGAAAAGAACAAAATGAAGAGAGCAAGGAAGAGAATCATGTATCATGCTGGTTGAGGCAGAGAGGATTGATTGAGATGAGGCATGGACCTCGAGAAGTAAACAAATGTCAGAAAAAGAAAAGTGTAGGTGGCTCAATTTTTAAATAACAATTAAAAATGCCTGGAAACAAAATGAAACCATGACCAAAAGAAAAAGTCTGTGGTCTGCTAATGGAGTGGGATAACATACACAAAAAAGTATGAGCTAATTAGCTAACACAGTTTAAAGTTAATTTAAGCAAATTAGAGTAATGAGAATGGAATTATGCTGTAAGTGCTGTTATAAACATCTTTAAAGTTGCAATTTAGTATTACACTTCCTTAACGTGGGAGAACCGGAGAGTGGGCACAAGCTCTGATTACAACACACACAGAGGGAGAGCGACTTGATGCTCTGCTCAGATAGACATTAATCCACTTTATACACTGAAAATGGTTGTTTGCTGCTATAATACTCTGAATTTTGAAGAAGCTTTGAAGTTTTGGGAGTGTGTACACTTGAAATAAGCTTTTCACAATATGCCCTTTTAGCTTTGATGAGTTTCTTGTCCCTGTTGTCCCATATATATCCCGCTGTGTAACCTTTTTTTTTTTTTCTGAGACAGTCATTTTTGATGTTCTCTAAAATTGCTGATCTCACCTCTAAAAATGTCAGTACAAACATCGATAGTAATTAGAGGACAATGCAATTAGCATCTGATTTAGAAGATTAGGATTACAAATAGACGTGCAGCAGCAAGCTGTCTGGCTTTGGTGGTAGATGTATGTTCGATGAGGACACGTTGAAAGACAATTAACATTAAAAAAAACACCTGTTGCTAAATTTCAAAATAAAGTACAGAAACCTTGGGAGTAATGTGGGGGTGGAAAGTCAACTTTCCCTTGAATCCTTTGGTATCAAACACAGGATTGTAGCCCATGATGGTGTTGATACCTTCCCACCACAAATTCACCACTAAACCAAATTAGTATAACTTTAATCCGTGCATGATATGAGTAATAGCTACAGTATGTACAACGCACACAGCAGCTGTTTATACACACGGATGTTTTTCTTTGTGTGAGGATGAGAGTTATGAGGAGGAGAGAGAAAGATCGAGACTATACCGGAGGTGTTGAGGAGATTAAATTCCATCAACCTTTGAAAAATCTGATCCACCTGACTAATTACTTCTGTAAAGAAAGTTTTCATCATTGTATGGCAGCGGGGCCGCGCGCCATGACATGATTACGTGCCCGCGTTAGGTTGTTTGTGTTCATTATGCGGCGTGATGCGATGAACTGAGATGATGTATTTTTCCTTTCTGTTTCCCTGCCTGGCTCTCACACAGCTTATCTGCAAATATAAAGTGATAGCTACACCGTTGTGGAGATTTGAATTAAAATAGGGGAAGAAATATGCCCTTCTCAAGAGTATTAATGAGGCCCTGAAGGGTGCAGATCGGCATGAGTCCTGCATGCCATGCTGGTCCAGCTGAGGCATTTAACACCGATCGTTATGACAATCTCGTTGACAGAATTAGGTGGTGGTTTGGAGGTCTGGACTCTAATGGTTCTCATCTTCACTGTTATTTAATAGAAGCTGAGTGTAGATTTGTGACAATGTCTCCCTCGCTCCTCATTATATAATATATGTACCTCAAGGCTCAATTCAGGCCTGTTCTCAATATGCATTCTTCCCCTTGAGTAAATTGCCCGTATCGTTGCCTGAAATGCAGCCAGTGCACTCAAACCCAGACAGCGTGCTCGACTGCACAAGACAGTTAAACAGTGAATAAAGCAACATGTCTAGAGCTCGGTACAAAAAGCCAGAGCACTTTGGCATGGCCAGATTAACCTGTTAGGGGTCCCAAGGGCAAAACATCGATGTCGGGCCCCTAGTAGACCCTCCATGAACCAACAACCCGCCTCCTGTACACGTATACCTCAAAGTTCCCGCTTTGGCAGCTAAATTATATGCCCTGGGACCAGACTTTCTGTGTGTGAATTAGTTTATGGTAATTTGTTCAAAGACAACTCTATTTACAGAGCACTTAAATATAAACTAAAACAATTAACTCTTAAAACAGGATTTCTACAAAGAGCCCCTCAACAAGATCAGGTGATAAATTGAGATGATCAGATTGAGTTTATAGTTGATATTGATCATTTTGGCCAATGATGTTCAATGATTTACAGTAGCGGATATTCAGGAATGGATTATTCTGTACTTCACTGCTACATTAGTCCTGACTCCATTCAGTAATCACTCTATTCTTTATCAGGTGACATTAATGCTGAATTGGAAAAGAGTTATTCCAGCAATTAGGTATTGTACTTTCTTAAGGTTAAGAACATGTGTGAGAAGGAGCAAGAATGATCAAAATGAATGCAGCAAGGGTCGAAATATCGAAACATTTATTCCTTTCAATCTTCAAAAAGAATCCTGAATCCTACATTCACCACAATGCAATACTCTTTATCTTCCCTCTCTGAAGACCATACCTGTATTCCAAGCATACCTGTATTTCAAAAAGCAGGGAGTGTATATCTATCTATCTATCCATCCATCCATCTATCCACTGTACAATGTGATCCAAGATGGTTGTATGATGCCATGTGTTTTGATTCAGCAGCTGGTCTCTGCTCGGCTGACCTTTCTGTTGCTGCATTCAGATAACAATCCACAAAATCAATGTAACATATAATTCTGCCCACGCACACTCAAATGTTCAATTGTGTGTGTGTGTGTGTGTGTGTGTGTGTATGTGTGATTCAAGAAAGCTAACCATTGATCTGGTGAACAACAGCCGGCATGTGTGTGTCATTTCAGAAGTCGAGCTAAGAGTGCCGGTCCGTGAGTGATATAAAAGCTGACCATTGATCTTGTAAGGCCGGCCGTTCAGGCCAACATATTGATCCATTGAGAAGAGAAAAAGCTGCACTGTGCAATCATCCACTTCCTCACTATTCTTCAAAGCGTCTAATCACAGAACAGTTCTCTTACGTAGCCCATGTGTTATAGTTTCTGTCAAAGTGTGAGTCACAGTCAAGCAAACATTTCTCCTTGTATGTGTGTGTCCTGATGACCCAGCCCACCTGTTGTTACCACAGAGTGCTGAGCTGATCTTCACACACAGGGACACCAACTGCTGCTGCCGCCTCCTCCACACCAGAGGAATGCACAGAATTAGAACGATGTGGGTGGAGGCGACTAACCGGTGTTTGAGGGCAAATGAAAGGCGACAAAAGGCGGCGTGGAGAATGTGAGTAAGTGAATGCATCGCCTTGATATGAGTAACTTAATGACAAATAGGCGTGGTACTGCTTATGAAGAGTTACCGACTGTGGTTAATTGTCAGATTCATATTTCACATTAAAAACATAAAGACTACGACACATTGTCAGGTTTCGGATGTCTATAAGTTGTCGAGTTTTCAGCCAAAAAAAAGGAGGAAAAATGATTTGATATTCCAAAAAAATCAGAGATTAGAAAAAGTTAATATAAATGTGTGTAGCAGAACTTTGCTTTTACTTCTTTCCTTTCCCATTAATCATGTCATGACCCTTTAGATTTATCTTGCGACCCCGTAGAGGGGCCAGACCCCCAGGTTGAACCGCTGGACTAAACAACAAACTGTATCAAAATGCAACAGTCACAGCTGAATGAACATTTACGTAATGCAGTATTTTGCAGTGTTAAATTGGTGTAAGGATAGAAATATTTCTTTATTTCTAGAGTACAGTATTAGCCTACATCAACTACAAGCATACTACGTTACAGAATAAGAATAAGATGATAAAGGAATTAATTTCTAAAAAAATAAAAAAGACCATTTTATTGTTTTTAATGCAGTTTACGTGTACAAATATTGAAAGCAGGGATTTACATTCCTCTGGATTATACTTGTGCAATTACATCACGGCACTGCTAGAGGAGAAAAAAAGAGAGAAAGAAAAAGGTAAGTTGATCATCAGAAGATCACATCAAACAGACCCTATTTTCAAATGTGGTTGTTACCAAACTCGAGGTCGGGACCCCCAAGGGATCCCCAGACACATCTGAGGGATCCCAAGAAGACATAAGGGGGAAACAAGACATTTATTTTCACATTAAATCTAAATCTAAACTGAGGCCCTAATCAATGTTAAGGAGGAAGGAGTACTGTACACTTTGCTTCATTTCACTGGCGTAACAGGTTTGAGGAGAATGAAGAGTGAATTGTGAGTTCCAGTCAAAAGTCTGTGAGCAAAATGTTACTTTTTCAATACATTTTGTATTGACAGTGTGCAGAGTTAACAACCTTATTAACTGGTCATTTAAAAATGTTTTGTTAATCTCCTGTGTACATTTTTAGCATGTTCGTCATATATTTAATGCAACAAATGTACTATATTATATCTTCAAGTGGCAACAGAGCAACAGGCTACAGTGAGTCTTTTTGTCGTGAAGGAAACAATGTGATTTTAAAGTTTATTTCTCTTTACAAAGTTATAAAAAACACAATATGAAAATAAATGAACGTGACTTAAGTTAATAATAGCAGGAGCAAATAGCTCATATTGTAGCTCACAGATTATAACACTAGTCATTAGTCATTGGTCATTAGTTGCAGTTGTCCACTTTTTAAAGTTTGGGAGTGTAGCAGCTTACTTTTAATAGATATTATAAATGGCAATAAGAAGGAATAATTGTGTGCAGACCGCCAGCATTCAGCGCCGTCAGTGTCGAATCATTATTATAAAGTTCAGCCGGAGCGACATGGATTTTTACAGTACCTTGGGCTTTGAGTTTGCCGGATGTTCAGTGATAACCTTCAGTCCTTCAAAGGCTTTGGGAAATGCACCGTCACCATGGAAACGCGCGTGCAACTCCTTCGTTAAATCCTGTTTGGCCCCGGCTGATTGTGAGGAAGAAGATGACGGAGGCGACGTACAAAGCGTACACGGCAATTGTGGTAAAGCTGGATCACAGCAGGGTCTAAAAATACACTGAGACCTTCCCCACGGGAGAAAACGTAAGGAAATCCAGCAAACAGCTCTTTGGAATTTGTATTGTTCTTGTTGATAATCAAAGTTCTTCTTGAAGATTTCTCCAGGAAATTCTTTGGTGAAAGTTTCGGATGATTGGGTTTCTAGCTGGTTTAGCTGCTGGAGAGAGTGAGACAGAGAGAGTAAGACAGAGAGAGAGAGACGGGCAGGGAGAAGTGACCTACTGAGAGTCACCCTGTCCCCTCCGAGAGTCCAAAATAGAGAGATAGTGGAAGTGAAGGGAGGAAGGAAGAGAGGGAGGAAGAGAGGGCAGAGACGGTGGAGCAGAAGAAAACTGGGTGTATGAGAGCAAAAGATCAAGGGATGGAGAGAACAGAATGAAATGAAGAGAAAAAGGTCTAAAAGTCTCCTGTGCTGTGTGTCTTGGAAACACAGAGCTTATTAATCATGTTATAATGATGGAGGCAGCTAACAGCTGATGCTACATCAGTTGTCCTCCTCTGAGAGGCCCATTACTCCGTTCCTGACCTCACCGACTGACCTGCCCACTGTAAAAAATAAAATAAAGTCTCCCACACCTGTACGCAAGTGCTAGCATTGATTTTGGTTCATTTATTAAATGTCATGGCATGATTTGACAGTATTTACAGCAACAGCACTAGTAGTTTTAACGTGACAGAAACCCCAAATGTCCTCACTTTGTGCCCTCAGCAACAACTTGAAAAATGAAGATCTTTAAACTTCTTCTTCTTGCACTTCATCCAGTGGACACATATTTCCTCTGAAGTACCCTGCGTTGTCAAACAGAGGTCACAGTGAAGAGTAAATAAGTTAATTAAGAACTAGTTGAGCCCCATGCGAGTTCTTAAGTCCTGTCAGAACCTGTTTTTGAGGCCCAGTTTAAACGGGGGGGGGGGGGGGGGGGG